CACCCACACTCCTTTGGTTTGCCAATATCAAAATTGTGTTTAAGAACCCCAAAAACCTTCTCATATGACGAAACAAAAACATGTAACTGATCAGAGATATTGGTAGTTCGGAGTAGTACAAGATATTATGTGTTGGAATAGTGTTATTGTAAGATTCAGTTTTGTATATAGTAGATTCTATAATAATTATTATTATTATGTCTATCAGACGTTTCTAGAATGATATTATGTGAATAATTATTATACTTTTGGTTTTCTTTGTTACAGTGCTGTGAAATTATGGTACAATTATTCTTGACTTAGTGTTATCCTAGTCCAATGTGCATAGATCTAGAATGTTCTAGTCATTTACGTGGAATCCTGGTGAAATCAGGCGCTCTTCAAAATAATAAGATCGAAGAAATTGATATTTTCATGCTCGCTGCCCAGTTATGATCGATTTTTTTCCGGTGTATTATTTTCGCTCAACACCTTATCTGTCCGTAAAATCATATTAACGTGTGAACTTATACTCCCCCCCCCTCCCACGCACACACCCATAATCAAAGACAGGGGGAAAAAATTAACGTTAATTTGCAGTTTCGATGGACATTCAAGCTTTGGAAGTCACCAAACTTTGACGCTCATTTTTTTGGTGCTAATTTTTACCTCTGACACCGGACGAGCTGTCAAACTCCTACAATATCAAATGTTCCATCTCATCAAGAAAGATGGGTAGTTGTTTTTTTTGTTTTTTGTTTGTTTTTTTCTTTTCAATAAGAAACAAGACAGATTAACAAGCTTTAAGCTTATACCAGAATCTCCCTTTGCTTGTCCAAAACTGACGAACGACTGCGATAACGTGGGGGAAATCACGTGCTTGTCAAAATAATGAAATCGAAGAAAATGGCATTTTACGCCTGTTTAGCAATATTTAGTTCGAATTTTTTTTTTCTCAACACTTTTTTATGTCTATAAATTTCTGTGAGGATTTTACTGAGCAAAGCTGATTAAAGGCTAAAACAATTAAATTCATATTTCCCAAGAGATCCCAAGCAGCTATAGAGGTTACCAAACTTTGGACGCCATTTTCTCGTTAATTTTACATTTGAAATCTGGTGACCCCCACTTTCTTCCCTCGGAAATATCTTGACTTCTATTTGCGGTAGATGGGTATTATTATTTTTTTTTATAGAATGGAATAGAATAATTCCACAAGCCCCAAAATTGACGAGAGCCTGATTCCACCGCGTTGTGACACATCTTTATCCTTCTTTGCTAATTTATTGAAAGAATTTCTTGTTGTTGTTTGATTGTTTTTTTTCTTGTTTTTTTGTGCTTCTAATTTCAAGACGAAATTACGAGCAGCTTTAATCATGGTGATTATTTAATGTTGCAAAAGAGTTATAAAAACAATTATTTATATTATCATAATATCATTAAATCGTGTGTGACCAGTTTGACTTATCTCCTAAGCTCATGTTTTTAAAGTAGTCTTTGGACTTCAATTCTCTGTTTTGTCGTATTTCATTTATTGAGAATGTTATTTATTTTCAAGGGGAGAACACGAACTGTAGAATTCTACAACATTTTTGTGTTTTTCATAATTGACTTTTTAAAGATCATATTGTGTATGCGTATAAGTTGTGTGTGTGTGTGTGTGTGTGTGT